TTTATAAGTTGGAAATTTTTTACTTCTTTCAGTGCTTTAATGATGTAACTTCATTGTTTTTCTGGCTTGTGTTGTTTCTGACAAGAAGCCTGTGATCGTGTCTAGCTTTGCTTGTCAGTGTTTGATGTGCCTTTTTTCTTTGGCTGCTTTTTCATCTTTTTCTCTATGGTTAGTTTTCAGCGCTTTGATGATGTTATACCTTTGTTTATTCTGCTTATGATTTTTTAAGTTTCTTGAATCTGTGAGTTTTTGATTTTTATGAAATTTAGAAAATTTAGAACCATTATTTTTTTCAAATTTTCTTAGCATCCTCTTCTTTTTCTCCTTTCCACGTGGGACTCCAGTTATGTTATATTAGTCCCATACCTCACTTTATCTCCACTTTTTCAGGTTTATTTTTTACCCCCTTGTCTTATTTGGATAATTTATATTGCTATGTGCACAGGTACACTGATCTTTAATTCTTTAGTATCTAATCTTTTAAGTCCATGCATGAATTTTTTTTTCATTTCAGTATTATATATTTCATCTCTGGAAGTTTTGTCTTTTTTAAAAATCTTCTTTCTTCATTATGTTCCTTATTAAAAAATCCTTGGGTATATCTATACCGCTTTTTAAAATGCTTTGCTAACTCCATCATTTCTTTCATTTTTGGGGTCTGTTTCTATTGACTGATTTTCTCCTGGTTATAATTCATATTTTGCTACTTTTTTCACACACCTGGTAATTTTTTATTAGATGCTGGACGTTATGAATATTGTGTTGTTGAATGTTTGAATTTTGTTGTCTGTCTTTAAGAAGTGTTGAAGTCTGTTTTAGCCGTTAAGCTACTGTGACTCGTCTTCATCTTTCTGGGGTTTGTTTTTAAACTTCGGGTGACTCTGGAGCAGCCTTTGCTCTGAAGGATGGACAGTTCTTCTACTGAGGTGGGACTCTTCTGTGGGATCTGGGATCAGTACTTAGCCTTGGCTGGAAAGAACCTGAATGTGTGCACACCCTGTGTGAGCAGGCTCTCAGCGCCCTGCGCCTTAGTCTTTGCCCAGCGCCGTGGGGCTCCGCCCTGAGTGTGCCCAGTGACATTCTGACAGAGGCCCGGTGGGACTCCTCTGATGCTGAGGCTTTCTCTTTGTAGCCACTTCTTCTGCAGTGCCACGCCCCCGCCCTCTGCAGTGCTGTGGCCCCCACTCTTCTGCGGCACTGCAGCCCCCCTCTTCTGCAGCGCCACGTCCCCGCCTTCTGCAGTGCTGCGCCCCACAAACTTCCAGCTGGCTTAGCCTCTTAAGCGCCCATACTTGTCTTCTCAGCTCAGAAAGACAGCCAGGCTGTCCTCTGTCCTCTCGGTGCCGGGGTCTGATTACTCCTGGGAGGAGAAGTGTCATGACCGTAGGTCTCTTCTCTGAAGGGCCGGAGTCCTGTCCCGCCTTTTCTTGGTGTCGCACTTCATTCACTTCTCCGCTTATCAGTGGAGGTCAGGCAAGTCCCTACGTGCTATCTTCTGTGAGTGGAAGCAAAATCCCTACTTTTTTCTTAATATACCTGATTTTTCAGAACAGTTTTAAATTTACAGGCAAATTTAGAGAGTACAGAGAATTACCATGTGCCCGCACACCCGGTTCCCCTGTTATCAACATTTCATACTTACACCTTAGTATTAGTAAGCTTGTTACAATTAAAGAACCAATATTGAGGCCTTTTTATTAACAAAAATCCATAGTTTACTCTGAATTCCTTGGTTTTGCCTAATGCCCTTTTTCTATTCGAGGATCCCATCCCAGACCCCACGTGACACTTGCTCATGTCTCCCTGGACTTCTCTTGGCTGTGATAGTTTCTCAGACTTTCCTGGTTTCTGATGACCTTGACAGTTTGAGGAGTGCTGGGCAAGTGTTTTGAAGAGTGTTCCTCAGTTGTAGTTTATTTGATGTTTTTCTCATGATTAAGTGGGTTATGGGTTTGGGGGAGGATGTTCACAAAGATAAACTGCCATTGTCATCACCTCATTTAAAGGGCACGTGTAGTCAGCATGACTTACTGTCATTTCTGTTGACCTTGACCGCTCGGCTGTGGTAGTTCCTGTCTGGTTCCTGCTCCTCCTGCCCCGCTACCGTCCGTTTCTGCACTGTGCTCTTTGGAAGGGGGTCACCATGTAGAGCCCACATGTAAAGGATGGGGAGCTATGGCCCACCCTCCTGCAGGGACAGTATCTACCTAAGTTACTTGGAATTCTTCTGTGTAAGAAATTTGTCTTTTCTGCCCCTTTATTTATATAGT